GAGTGATGCCAATTGTTGGCAAAAGTCTAAGGAACTTCATCTAGGATTGAGACTTCCACACAGATTTACAGAAAGATACGCGGAAAGGAGGCAGGGAGGGAGGGAAGAAGGGAGAAGGTCCTGGAAAAACTTCCCTTTCCAGTCATTTTTACCCTCTTGTTAAATAAGTAGGTAAGTAAATAATAAAATAAAATTTTGTCCCTCGTGGTAAAAGAGCTAATTCTGAAAACGTGAACTGAGCATAAATCAATGCAGTGCTGACTACCTGAATTTCCAGACAGTCTAAGCCATCAGTCTAAAAGTTGATGATCAAGATTTGTATGGTACTCACAAAGAAATGTCATGGATTTTGTGCCCTTCGGATATTGCTAAATGGAAGTAGAATGGGGAGAGGACATGGGAACTGTCTTGGCATGGGAATTAGGATCTCAGTATAGAAAAGTTTGAGAATTCCTGGTTTATGGGGAGATTCATTGGTTATGCCAGTCTAGCTGACAGGTGTCCACATCTCCAGCAGGCACCATATGGGATTGTCCTAGGAGAAAAACAAATGCTATGCAATGAAATCCAGTCTGTACAGGAGTGTTCTTTAGATCAGCAGGTGCTCAGGCAATGCCATATAAGGAAGCTTATAGATTTGCAGAAGTATCTGCTCTGCTGACACCAACTGTCCTGGTTCAGGGGTGTGCTTTCTCCCCTAACACATGCCCTCCAAGTGACAGACCTACCTGCCCTTCTCTCAAATGGAAGTCCACAGTTCACCCTCTCAGCCTGGATCACCAATCTACAACATCCTGCGTTCCCACCATTTGGTCACAGGGCAAGCAGTACTTTCTACTCCCCTGCAGTCCCTTAGCAGTGTACCTCTTAGGTGATAGATTTTTCTTCTTTCATCTCACAATGGTTCTATCACTCTTAGACTGGATCCTGCAGCAGCCTCCTTGTTTCTAACTATCTTGGCACCTGCAACACACTTCTCCCTAGGAGACTGACCAGCAGCTGATTAAAGGGTGGCCTTACCACTCCTTCCCCACAGGTAAACAACAAACAGATAAAAGGGTTATAAGCACAAAAGGCCTGGATGTTTGGGTCCTGCCTAAATTTTCTCACTTCTCTCACAGTTTAAGGAAGCCTAGCTGCCTCCGATGCATCCTTCCATTGCTCTGTCTCAGACTGACTACTCCTGCAGGATTCTCGGTGTGCGTCTGTCCCTCTCCCCGGAGCAGCTGCTGACCACTCATTCCCTTAGCACCTTTCATGATCAGGTTCTTTTTAACTCTTCAGAGTCCTTTTGATCTCTAAGCTTTGGCCTTAGCAAGACAGCTAGGTAATGTTCATCTGGCACCTTGGAAAAGTATTTCCATGTTTAATGGTCCAGCTGTTGTCCCACTTCAACGCCATGTAGGCAAACAGGATAATAACAAGCAGGCAAGCTGAAAAACCTATAATATATGTAAAAGTAAGGCAGATACTTCCCTTCTTCCACAAGATTCCAGTGCAGTAATTATGGTGCAACATATTGACATTAAATTTCTTCTAAGATATAGTCTTAAAAAATTAAAAGCTTTGTTTTGGGGAAAACAGTTTCAAACGCTAATATTAGTTTTAGCTTTTGTTTCAGAAGTTCCCCTTGACTGTCTTCTGTCAAGCATCTAGGGTTGCCAGATGGTTGAAACAAAAATACCCTCCCACCCACCCAT